GCCATGTCAGAAACCCATTGGCTTTGTCTGGGAGGACGGTATGGGTTCTACGGGCCTGCGCCGCTAAAGATATTCTTTGAGAAGGTTTGGTATCGTGGTCGCCAGCATTCACAACTATGAGAACAGGTTTGCCGTCTCGGCGTCTATACCGGCCTCTTATTAGGCTGGGCCTTCGGATAGTGATTGCTATCCTGGGCTCAGTAACAAAAGCTAGCAGCTAGTGGGTACGCTGAAGAGAATGTCTTCATGTACAGACGTACACATGGCGCACACTAAGGCAGCTCTGAAAAGCAACACTCAATGAGGGCTGCAGGCGCTGAAGCGCTTGAGAACAGAGAAGCCAGAACCCCAAAGCCAAAGCTTCAGGCCTGTCCGAAAGTCGGAGAAACCGAGCTCTGTGGCAACAACTGAACAAACCATACAACCACTCGCAAAGCAAAGAGGCCCCGGCCAGCCCAACCGCACCACTAGATCGAAGGGTGTACTTGATGCAGCCGTGCCGATGCGAACTTGGCTCAAGAATTGTGCCGAATTTCCAAAGGACACGGTATGGACTTCACGGGAGTTCCGCGAAAGATATCCCTGAACCCGCATTTTGATAAGGGTTGCCACAAACAGAAGCCCATGTTCTGGAAGGTGAATGGACTACAGTATCAGTACGCTGGTTTGCATCTACATATTTTTCAATATGTATACATGCGTAGTGACCCTGGGCCCCTGTAGTAGATTGATACTCTGGGATTGCCATTGTTGCAGTTGCAAAAGTGGCTCTTGGAAAGTATACTGACTGCGCCAGGCAAACCCAGTCGATCAGCTGCAGATGTCTCACTTCAAAGTCCCAAATTCCACGACTTCTCTCGCTTCTTTCCTTCCTTCCTTGCACTCAGTCCTTCCCATCCTCTGAAAACGCGGAAGCGGAATCTACAGAAGCCTCTGAGAAGCTGCATGGCCCCAATGGGCGCATTGTACTGTACCATCGGAAAACCACCGGAACTCTTCGATTCTGCAGTCTCCTTCTCTGCGCCCTTTCTCTCTCCGCTTGTTTTTCTGTCACACTTCATCGTCTTCTCTCGGGCATGACGTGCGAGTCACGCCACCAATCATCAGACGATGTCTGCAGACATGTTTCCCGTATGTTCCCTGGCTGGCTCTGAGAAAAGGAGTTTCGGCTACTAGTTTTTCAAGCGATCCTTGTCCGCGTTCCATGAAGAACGTGCTGAGCCCGATGTCAAACAGTTGCCCCACGACGGCGCATGAAATCGCGATGCCGCCCCGTCACGCGCGAACGCACCACAAGCTCAGCTGCAAATCGTTTTACTGAGTGTGTGTGTGTGTGTGGGGGGGGGGGTGGGCGGGGCGCTTCGCGGCACTGTCCAAATTCCGGGCACTTGGGAGCTCCAGCGCCATGCGCAAGCTTTTTCGGCAGAAAATATATGTCCCAAAGATTTCAAACTCTGCCAGCTCGCGGCCAAAGCTAAACAACAGGTGCACGCGCATTCCGATTTGTAACCAAAGCAATCACATAACTCGGGAATGGTTATGGTTTGAGTGTTGACTGTTGCGAAACATTGTCCTGTACTGTAGGTCTGGGTTTACCTCACGTCACTCGGCGCGAACATGTCCCGCGTGGTGTGTAAAAACGCCAGGCCAAGCAGCGACCCCATGTTAGTAGCGCCACCGGAGGCTACGCTGGAACTGGGCCTTGGGACTTTTTGAGGCTGAGGCTGGCGTCCCTGCAGCATGACCTGCAAGCGAAAGCCGGAATGTGCTCTCTCGGAAACAATCACTCTGTCGCGGTCTCTGTTTCTATCTCTCTCTCTCTCTCTCCCGGGCATGGAGGCGGGTCAGCGCCCCCGGGCCTCAAGCCCACACATTCGCATATGGAACGGATGGAACGGGTAAGGGGGTGAGAAACGAGCGTAACTTACCAAAAGGCTACGGCCATGTAGTATGCGATACCGGGCAAGACAAGTCTACGCTCTCACTGCGGCAGCTAAGTGGTACTCGAAGGAGGGGCGGCTCGGAACAGCGAGGTAAAACTCGAAGACGCTTATCCCCCCCTCCTTCATGTTTCAAAACTTTGCGGAGGAAAGCAAAAGTACAGCCGGTCGAAATTAGCTTCCCCCGTTGATGCATTTGAGCGAAGATTGTACGATCGCGGAGCGATGGCCCAGAGGCCGGACTGCGGTATGCAGAAAGTTACAAATCGAGCTTACAAGTCACATGTGGGATTCCATCTCGCAAGGTTCGGGAGTTGAAAAAGTTCCGAGGTGGGTGGTCGAGATCACCATTGAAAACGAACTCTGAGCGGTGCAGGTTGCAGGCTCCCCCGACAAGGAGCGAGGATACGGTTTGCTGAAAGGTGGGGCTTCGGAGTGGAAAAGCAAACAACCTTAGCAACAAGGAAACAACACCTTAAAAACTCATTCCCCCTTTACGCCTGTGTGCAGGCGAATTTCTGCCCCTCACTGCGCGAAACTGCTAAGTTCATCGCGATCCACTTTGTAGTCGTGCTCATGCAGCAATCTGTCGTCGTCTTTTCCGTTCCTCTCGCCATTGTAGCTTGCTTAGCACCTTCCATGTTTGCTTCCATTTTCCCCCACAAATATGGGGTTTGCCGTCATATTCCCCCATGTTCTGGAATTTGATGCTGTGCTCCTCGGACGATCGGGCCATTCTGGAGTGACAGGAGCTTGGGCACCAAGGCTGTCATGCGCCCCCGCAGGTTCAGCGTTTGTAGCGTCGTCGTCCTGGGAGGAGGTTCCCCCTTCCGACTCTGCCGGCAGCGTCACAGCCGGGATGTCCCCCGCCTCGTCCCAGTAAGTGAGCGCTTCGGAACCACTGGTCGGCACATGCATCTCTGTAGTGGCTTCCCCCCATCGGTCCACGGCCTCTTCCCACAAGGGATTGACACTGTAACGGTCATATCATGATGAGTTTCCGGGGATGGCGGCCATATTTGCGGTAAACCTCCAGAAGTTGCTTGGCTTTGGTACGAAAGTTCTCCATCTCTCTGGCAGTTCGGAGTTCGCGAGCAACTTGGTCCCCCTCTGCGTCAGTGTAGCGCCGCCCCAGTTTTACATCGAAGTATACTGCATTCTCCGGGCCTTCCCCCGTTTGCTGCAGTAGGGGGCGACTCAACCAGGTGGCCTCCACCGGCACATACTTTTCAATGCGCTGGTGCCAGGCTGGGGTGTCTTCCACCGCTACTCCATCACATTGGATCTTCACCAAGTTCTCAGTGGTCCGGCTGACCCGTTCCCCCCCTTGCAGTGCTGGAGGGTGCCGTTGCTCCAAGCCATGCAAGCGGCAACGAACATCCTGCCGAACGTGGTTTTTCCTCATGCCGGGGAGGCATTTTCCCCTCCAACGCGGCATATGCGACATATGAACTCCCCCTCATACCCCGCCATGTCGTAGGACTCGTTGTAGGCAAACTTTGCTATCTTGTGCCCCTTGCCACTTGCTCAAACTCGTAGTAGAAAATGTTCTGCGCACAGCGTGCAGGTACTGGTGGGTCTGGTCCCCCGCAGGCTGTTGCGCGAGGTCGAAGAAGGACTCAGTTACCTCCTCTTCAGTGGCTTTCACGGAGAAGCTTTTGCAGCCCCGAGTTCCCCCGCTGCGACAAAGCTTGTGCGAACCCGACGGTGAGCTTGAATGGCGGCAGGCTACCTTCAAGGACAACCTAGCTACTTTTAGACGGAAGGAGTAGATTGGGTCCCTCCCCCGACAGCACAGGAAGGGAGAGGCAACCCCTGCCGCAGCTTCCCCCTTTGAGAGCACGAGGACGTCGTTGATGACGATGACGATGTAGGCACCTTGAGCCAAAATGGCTACTCTCTCCCTCTCTCTCTCTCTCTCTCTCTCTCTCTCTCTGTGCCTCTCTATGTCTTGAACGGTCTCTGTCCCTCTATCTATCGCCGTTGGGCTTGCTTGCTGTAGCTCTCTCTCTCACTCTGAATCTTTGCCTTTCCATCCCTGTCTCGAACATGCCCAGGTGCCAAATCCATCCAGTCCATGTCGACCTGCTATCTATCACCTGCAGCGCCAACAACAACACAAAGAGACAGCTGGGCCAACGCCCTTGGTGAACTGAACACAGCGCAACAATCTGTATTGGTGCGCGATCCAGTGTACTCGTACTGCATGGCAGCATGAACATTCAGATGGGTTCTTGACTTGCGAGAGGAAGCCAAGTATAAGTGCAGAGTGCTTAAATCGAAAGCAGCGGGACAAGTGCATGTACACGCAGACACACGCGCAGAAAGCTATCTACAAACATGTTTGTAAGGTTTGCACTGTGCGTTCTCCCCCTACTCCAATATGGCATCCTCCAAAATACACGCCAGTGCGCAGGGCCCCCGTTCCAGAGAGAGAGGGGGAGGACTCAACACCCCAGCCGTTCCAAGCGGGGGAGGAGAAATGATGACATGCACAATCATTAAAGCAAACCGAGCCATTCCACACGCAAGCTCAAGGCTCAAGCCGTTGAGGGTGGCATGACCAAGGGGAGATGCCATTGTGGGCGGGGAGGGGTGAAGCAGGGGGAAGCGGGGTGGGAAGGGGTGGAACCATCAAACATGTATCTACATATACTATACATATATGTATGTGTGTATATATATATATATATATATGTGTGTTCATCTCACCTTTTAATGGATGCATGCATCTTGCCGGAAGCTTACTTACACATAGTTAAACACATGTACCGTAGATGCCTAGGCACCTACATAGAATCATGCATACATGCATGCGATGGCGCATGCATGCATACTTCCATCCATCCATCCATCCACCTATCCATCCATGCATGCATCCATGCGTCCATGCGTTCCTGCGTCCATTTTGCATTCAATGCTTGGGCTGGGTCGATGCTCAGCTCTCGGTACTTGTATCACCGCGGCGATGATGTACACTGCAACGAAGACAACCAATGACGACAAAAAATTGGCAGCTAGCTATACCGATCCGCACGGCAACTCTGCAGGACCTGCAGGTCAGCTTCCGCGAGTTCCTCGCGTCCACTGCCATGTCTCAGCAGTTTCACGGAGGAAGTCGACCAACAGCGGATCGTGAAAGGACTCCTCTCCGAAGATCTCGGTCATCAGCGTCAGGCTAACAAAGTCCAAACTCCCACGGTCACTGTCCTGGAGCAAGGCAACCGTCCGCGGGAGGAACTCCTGTCTCCATCGCTGGACCATGGCTTCGCCAAGAGTGCCCTCGCTGTCGTCAAGAGCTTGCACTCTGGGGTTCACAAGACTCACGCCGGGGCACTGGCCCTCAAAGACTCGCCGGACCAACTCTGGGCTCACCCACAGGTTGTGGACGCCCACGCTGGGCATGGTACCAGAAGTGCCAGACGACAGCTGCTTCTTCTCCTCTGGCGAGAATTGCTCCCTGGCAAAGTGCTTTGCCGCTTCCTTAGAAGGAAGCTTCTCGGAGTCTTGAAGATGACTGCAGAAGTACGCATCCTCCGGATGAAAATTCACGTGGGAGGATTTGGTGATCCTTAGCATCGCTTCGCGATCTCGGAGACTGAAACCCCCGTTCCCCACAGGCTTCTTCGGGCAGAAGGTCTTAAAATCGGGCCACGGAGCCCCGACGTAGTCATACTGAAGGAAGTCTCGCAAGGTTGCTCTTGCCCCGTTGCAGATCCAGGAGTCCGTCTGTGCCAGCAACACTTTCGGTGTGGTTGTCAGCTGCCAAAACTCCGGTGATGTCAGCGCCTTGGAGTAGGCAACGCGTTTCTGGTCCTCAGGGAGCCGGCTGGCATTGTAAGCGCTTCCCGGCATTGGTGTCAACAGCAGAACGCCTTTCTCCAAAAGCGCCGCGAGCGTCTTCTGCGTTTTCACGTACTCCTTGTTGTCACTGCCGTACATAAGCTGTATTCGCAGCTCGGGGAAGTGAGTGTGAGCTTGTAGCACCACGACAGGTAATGTCACCAGAGGTCTTGTCTCTGGGATCAGAATGGAGAGCTGGCTGCTGTTGTACACGTAAGTGCTACTGGCCAATCCTGTGGAGTTCTGCCCTATGGGAACAACACCGATCTGGCTTTCGTCAGCGGGGAAAATGGCCCCTTTGACGTCAGACCCGCGCAGGGTCACAGCTCCACTGATGTAGAGCCAATGCCCGAGCAGCAGAAAGATGGACATGTATAGAGATTGATAACTTGTGGTCGAATCGCGTAAGCGTGGGACGTAAGTGAATCTTGAGCCTTGCTTGGCTGCAGGGCGCAACTGTACCTAGAGCAAACATGGCAACTCACGTTTTCCAAAGTTGACGTCGCAAGGACAAGCAAGGTATCCACGTCGTAACCGAGCCGTCCTTTGCCGGCACATCTCAGAACCTTATCAATCGATATTGCTGGTTTTGGCATGGTTCCTCGGAAATCGCTGCGCGACAGGGATTATAAACATGGCCATCATGCCCATCCTAATCTTAGGCTATTTGTCTTCGAGCAGGCAGCACTGATGCTCTGGATCTTCTCATCGTGACACCCCGAAATCTACCCCTCGAGACACCATGCAAGAGCCTCGTGGGCATTCGATCGGCTAAGACGCCAAGCGATCCGGATGCAGCCTGGCATCTCGGGCGATCGAAGGAGCTAGCTCGCATCATCTTTGCTAGCCCTGCTAGCAGGTTACCAGTATATACAGTATAGATATCAACACCTCCGGGAAATCATGGGAACTCTTTTTAACTTTCTAGTGTCAACTTTTGGCTTGACAAGGCTGCTGAACTCGAAGAGTGGCCCCGCCGAAAGGCCGCTCGAGATGCCCAAAGTTGGCGGCGCCTGTGCCCTACGTCTAGAAATACAATGCAATAGATGCGGCATCTGGAGCTTGAAGCCCCGAAGCTGAGACCTTCGGGCTCAGGCCCAAAAAATGCCAAATCTGCAAAGACAAATTGAGCGATGGCGACGGTCGGCCTGCAAACACCGCCACAATCAGGAACAGCGTGCAAGCAATCGGCATCCAGAGCCACCACCTCGCACAAAAACGGCAGCAGCCAGCAAGCCAACATTCCCAAAGGCGGCTTCGCGGTTTACTTGCACACAAGTTGGCCCGCAAGCCCTGCACTGCACCCAAAAAGCAGCAACGACTCGTAACGACAGTAACGACTCGAATGTCTCAAAATCCACACGTAGCAGAGCTCCCTTCGGTAAAGGGCCTTTCGTTTTTCGTCGGAGTGTCGGGCGTGGTGGTTGTTGATGCTGACAGGACGAAGGCGGCGCCCCTGGCTGGAGCATCAGTGTGTTCAATTGGATGAAATATGGGGCGTGGGCTGGCCAGCCTCTAGAAATGAAGTCCAAGGCAAAGGACCAACACAACGAACGCTGAATTCTTAGTCAGTTTTTCCTTGAGGTTGAATAGCTTCCAAGCTAGTCTTAGTGTGGATTCTTCGGACTGCGACGTCGAAGACCGGCAGTGTGGGGAGGAGCTCTTCAGCGTTTAAACATAGAGGCCAGTCAGAGTAACCGTCCCGGTAATGCTGGTTTGAGGAATGAGATTCCAGGGTGATGCTTCATTCTGGACCTCTTCTGCAAAACCCGGCATGGCAATTGGGGGCGATGGAACCTGCAAGACCCATTGGCAATCCTCGCGAAACGGAAAGCCCTACTGGCAAGGGAGGGAAAGGGGAGAACACCTCAGGAGTGAAAATATGTATAATCCCAGCGCTCACGTAAATTCAGCGGAGCAGAGATATGGAGAGGACGAGAGCAGCAACAGAAACACAGAGAGGAAGGGAGAGAATGAAGAGAGAGAAAGAGAGAGAGAGAACAAAAAAGGGAAACGAAGGAGCCAGGGAGGAGGCCGAGACCTTGTCGCGGCAGGCTACAGCCCCGGCTTGTCAGATGCAGGGGAGGCTTAGCTTCAAGCGGCACGACCCTCAAACACCTATCGAAGAGCGGACAATCTTTTCCCTGAGCCATGATTCCACCGAGGTTGTACAATGGTTGGGGCATCGACATTTCCATTTGGAAGACATGACTCTCTGCTCTACACCATGTCCTTTCAGAGACACGGCTTCGCACTCTTGCTTGCACGAGTCTAGAGTAAACGATCAAAAGGTTGTCTGGGCTCGGATGCATCCCAGGGAACGCACTCCTCGGCGTGGACGATCAACCGGCGATTATTATGCAGATGCATGCCAGATCCGTTCTGAAACGCTTCACCCCATTGTGCACGCTCAACCGGCTGAGACACTGAGACGCATGCCACGTCCTGTCCGGAAACGCTCAACCCGCAATGTGGACACTGATCGATGTGTATTTAATAAGCGAATGTCATGAAGTATTGCCTAGCAGAAACGCGAGCTACCCCGTCTCCCCCACCAGCTGACCTTAGCGCAGTGTTGGAGATGGGCGCAGCCAGCGACTCGGCCATGCCTGGCTGCATAGTTTGATAACTTGAGGCACACCTTCCGGGCACTGAGGGGCATGGAAGTCCACTGCCTTAGGGGGACGGCAAGTTGCTACAGGCCATGCGTAGCCCGTCACGATGCACGCCGCTCAGTCAACGGACTCCGTGCCTCCACAAAGCCAGCGCTGCAGCCCCGGCAATTCCCTCGAAGTCTGAAACGTCAGAACTGGACTCACTGGACCTCAAAACTTGCGAACGATAGATCGTCGTACTTGTGTCATGGTGGTCATGAGTCACTATATGTATTATTGTGTTTACCGAAATTGCATACTGTGGGGCCAACGCCCTCCGAATGGCCGTATTGGTAAGACAACCGCTCAGAATTTCTGCTTGCTTCTCATGTCAACAGATCGCAGCTGGTCTGAGCAAACCCCGGCCGGCTCATCCCCCATGTTCGGCAAACCAATGCCACCAATGCCAGCGCGGCCCAACCAGCGGGAAAAACACACACACACACACACACTCACACACAACCCACCCACCCACCCACCCACCCACCCACCCACCCACCCACCCACCCACCCACCCACCCACCCACCCACCCACCCACCCACCCACGCACGCACGCACGCACGCACGCACGCACGCACGCACGCACGCACGCACGCACTCACCCATGCAGGGAGACGAACACGCACGCAGACGAGCACTGGGCTCATCAGCAAGGCCTTAAACCTAGATCGCAAAGATGCAGATGCTTCTCGCGGTTGTGCCAGTAACAACCATGGGACTTCGACTTGCCAACGACATCATGCGAAGGAAACCGCTGCATCCAAAGGCACCGGTCAAAACGATTGCTGATCAGGCAACACCCTTAACCCCCGGGCTCCCAGATTGCGCGCTTTGTAGCCGCGCCGTTGCCATGCCAATTGGCGACACTTCAAGAATCAATGCCCACGTATTCACAGATCTTGAGCTCTTCTGCCTCTTACAACCTCTTGCAGTTGAACGGCCAGTGTGCCTATTGGCATCATCAATATCGTAACATTCATTACCATTACAACACAATAAGCCTCACAGCAAAATCCTCAGCAATGAACGTGCAACACCAACGCTCCCTAAAGAAACAACACCCACACCAGCACCGGCACCAGTACCACTAACAACACCAACATCACCAAAAGCACTACCAACATGACCAAGAGCGGGAACGCTAACAATAACAACAACACTACTACGACTACTACTACTACTACCACCACCACTACCAGTACCACAACGACCACTACGACCATTACCACTACCACCACTACTACCACGACTACCACTACCACCACTACCACCACTACCACCACTACCACCACTACCACCACTACAACCACTACAACCACTACTACCACGATTACCACTACTACCACTACTACTACTACCACTACTATTACGACCTGCTACTGCCACTACTACTACTACTACTACTACTACTACTACTACTACTACTACTACTACTACTACTACTACTACTACTACCACTACCACTACCACTACCACTACCACTACCACTACCACTACGACTACCACTACCACTACCACTACCACTACTACTACTACTACTACCACTACTACTACCACTACTACTACTACCACTCCTACTACCACGACTACTACCACTAGCTCCTGCCACTACTACTACTACTACTACTACTACTACTACTACTACTACTACTACTACTACTACTACTACTACTACTACTACTAGGACGACTACGACTACGACTACGACTACGACTACTACTACTACTACTACTACTGCTACTAGACGTCCACTACGACAGCTATCACGACTACGAGGACGTCGACGTCTACTGCTACTGGTGGTGCTGCTGCTCATACTGCGGCGACGCGCGATATACTGATGACAAGGACAACCACCGTTACAATAACAGCCACTTTCACCTGGCACTGGCCCTAGTACTGGTAGGAGCAGCAGCCATAACAAAAGTACGCGCGGTAAAGAGCAAACAATGCTTATGTTACTAGTACGAGTAGGTCTGGATGCGGCAGCACCAGAAGCAAGAGCGGTGCTTCAAGGAGGAGAGTAGAATTAGAGGCAGTAGTCGTGGCCGTGCTGCTGGTGGTGCTGGTGCCGATGGCAGCGGCAATGCAATATGTGATGGTGTCTTGGAGCAGGAACAACGTCATTAAGGTCCAGGAGAGAAAGCATGAGACGCTGCATGAAGATCCAGGAAACGTGGGGGCCTAGCCCGTCTCGGGTGAGATTGGGGAGCTTGCTTTTGCAAGCTGCCCCGGCAGGTATGTCGTCCCATACCAAAAACACGGCATTTGTTGAATTGTTATATACAAGGTGGCTCGAGAGAGACATGCGTGGTCGGTTCAGCAGAGTGCCTGCTACAGAAGAAGCTGCCAGAAAGCTCCAAAATCTCCAAACTCAGCCGGCCTTCCTGTCCGAAACAAGACTGGTCCCAAAGACGAAACGCCTCCGGATGCCTCCGGCATCGATACCAGGACTTACGCTGCAACGAGAATGCAACCTGTCACTGACGGTCACATCGGGCATCGTACGGATCTATTCCACCCAGCGATGTGACGTCTCTATGTGACTATAGCTATATGTTGTGTACTGCAAGTGCTGCAGTGAGCGATGGCTTGACACTTCAGCCCGACCATGCACACGGATTCTGTCCAACCCAGGACCTAGAACCAAGACACCATCATATGACCGCATCACTCGGTGGCTGCCCTAAAAAATCCAATCATCCCGAAACTTGGGGACCATAAACTTGCCCAAAGTGTGCCACCTTGCCGTCGAACTCAAGTGCGGTAGCCGTTGCCGCGGCTTAGATTGAAGAACTGCGACCTGGAAGCAATCCCACGGCAACCAATTGCAACGGCAGTACCCGCATGGGGTTCGACGCCTCTTGGAGTAGTTACCGTGTTGGAGATCACTCACCATTAAGCACTCCAAGAAATCGGCAAGGCTACAACCAGGACACAGCAGACACACCAAATGCAAACAGAAAGCTCGCTCGGGGCAAGCTGAGGGCACGACTGCTGCAGCCGTCCTGAGGCAAGCCAAAAGGAAGTAAACAAAGCATGCGCAGTTCCGGTCATCTTCGCTGCTGTTACGTACAGAAAGAAGGCGGCATGATGCAAGAACTTTCCTCATTCCTCTTTGGACTGCAAACAAGCTTCGGTGTTCATCCAAGGCTGCACGCAATCGGATCATGTCGATCTTCGTGGCGCACCTTCTGCAATGATGCCGACGAGACTGAGGAATTCCGCTGAAATCTGGTGAGTCTCTCCAGACTCAATGTGAAAAGTCTCTTGCCGATTGCTCCTAGCGGAAACGAGTATGGGCCCATCAGTACATGCTTATCAGCAGCATGTCGCCCTGATTGTCGAATCAGTGTTCAGAGCAGTGTCCGGATCATTTGTTGTGTGCCGCACCTCGCCAACAGTGGTTAACATGGTCCGATGTTACGATTGCAATGGGATATATAAACGCACTATGATAAAGTCTAAGTCTAGGTGTTGAGTTCAAGGCTGTTGGATTTAGGGACGGCTTCGTGGGCTAGTCCAAGAGCCGCACAGGTCTTCACCAGCCATCGCGACAGACTCTTCCGCCTCACACGGACAGTGCCGGATGCTCCCAAGGACAGTTTCTCACCCAACCAAATCTCAAAGAGTTGTCGATTGAGCGATGCATGTCGCTCGCCAGTGTCGTGCTTCATGGGCTCATCGGGCTATCGCTGAAGGTTGCGGCCGGGATGGACCCCTTGCAAGCTCTGCCTGATGCAAGCGCAGTTCCGCTTGAATGCGCCGGGCGTTGCTCGACTGCAGCTCCTGGAACTTGGAAGGCCCAAGGACGGATCCTACACTGTGTCACTAGCCACGCCACAACCGGGTGCTTTGCGAGCAGACCCCATTGTCCTGAGTAAGATCTCGTTGTATCTGTCCCGCTTGCCTGGCCTGTGGCGCTGATGATGACATGTGTCGGTCTCAACTCTTTCGCTCCTCGGACATGACACGTGCTTGATCCACATCATGGGAGGTCATACTCACACAGTTGCGGTGGTGCTCGGGATTGCCATTGTGCGCGGGACCGACATGGGACATGGGGTACACGACAGCAGCCCTTCAAGCACCTCTCCATCTACAACCCGTCTTTAGCAAGCCTTAACACTGACAACCCTGGAAATCAACAGCCTTCGACTTCAGCCTCCCTCCTCGCTACAACAACAACAACACTCATGACACCTGAAAGCTTCGATAGAACCATGTGCTACAAGCCGGATCACGACCACCGGCACCTCCACCCAAACACTCAATCCTGAGAAGGCGTTCAACCGCAGCGAGTCCCACTCGTAGGCGCAGCACCTCTCCTGGCTGCCGAAACGATTCAAGCCTCGGTTGTTTCGGAACGAACTTGAACAGACAGCAAATAGAATCACAACAAAAGAACACTTGCCCCACACTTAAGATGGTCTTGTCCTGGCTTGGTGTATGAATGCTCCTGACCCATAGGCCGCGTAATCTTTCGGGCGCAGCAGTAGCACCAGAGACACACAAAAAGAAGAAGAATAGCAGCAAAAGCATCAGCAACAACCCCGACAGACAACAAATGACAGAAACTAGCAACACATACACACACAACAGACGACAAACAGCGAACGCTGTAACTGCACAAACACAACAAAACAACAACAATAGACAACACCAAAACCAAACAGCAGCCCTAACAACGATCATCAACAATAACATCAACAACAACAGCAGCAGCAGCACCAACAGCATCTACAGCACCAACAGCACCAACAACAGCAACCACACCAACAACAGCACCAACAACAGCACCAACAACAGCAACAACAACCACAACCAGAACAACCCACAGCCACAACCACCAACACCACGACCACCACGACCACCACCACCGCAGCCACCACCACTACCACCACCAGCACCGCTACCACCAACAGCACCACTACCACCACGAACAAGAACAATAACTATAGCAACAAACAGAACAACAATAGCAATCAAGATATCAAGACACGAACACAAGAATAATGACGATAACAGTTGCCGAGGCCGAAACAACACTATAACAACCACCACCACAAACAGCAACAGCAACAACAACAACAACAACCACAACAACAACAACAACAACAACAGCAACAGCAACAACAGCAAAGACGGCAGCAACAACAACAACAACACCCAAAACCACAACCACAACAACGACAACGAAAACAAACACAACAAAACCACTACCACCACCACCGCCAGCACCACCAGCACCAGCAGCACCAGCAACAGCACCAGCACCACGACCACAGCAGCAGTAACAACATCAGCAAAAACAGCAACAACACAGCGACAGCACAGCAACAACAACGGCACGGCAACAGCACTGCAACAGCAACAGCAACAGCAACAGCAGAGCACAGCAACAGCACCGCAGCAGCACCGCAACAGCAACAACAACGGCCACAACCACAGCCACCAGAACCACCAGAACCACCAGAACCACCAGAACCACCACAACCACAACCACAGCAACGACAGCAGCTACAACAGCAAGAGCTAACATGATGATCCCGTTCGACGGCAAGCTGTCGCCCAAGTTACGGCCCTCTGAACGCAGCATCCAAGCTCGCGTTGCACTCGACACTCTTTCACCAAGGACAGGACAGAAACCATCTTCGAGAGTCAAAGCCTAGACCCTCGAACGTCTATTTAGAAATTGCAAGCCGTTTGTTTAGAAGGCCTGGATGCTAAAACCCGGAACGGGGGGAATCTCAGATCCGTCGCTGCCCTCCACCACATCACGATCACTAGTTAGACTGGAATCCTGAAGCCCCTGAAGCTCTGGAGCCCGAAACTCGAAACCCCAATTCAACTTCCTGAGCCCGAATTTCCATCAGCCCCTTTGTTACCAATGCAAGGGGCTGTGCGACTCGCCGTTCCGCTTGTTGCAAGGCCACGGCCTCCACAGAAGCGGCCAAGAATAACATCAAGCGCTTCGATGGAACCAAGAACAGAGCGTGTAACTGCATTCGCTGCAAAAGTGGCAGCGGGTGAGGATTTCTGGGGGCTTGCGTCGTGACCCCTTGGTTGCGGATGCTACTGTGCAGTCGTTATGGAGTTATTGTGGATGTGGCTCTCGGTTGAGGAAGCATGGCGTTGGCCAGAAGGCACCGTAAGGGGGCTGTACAGGAAGAATCGGGTTTTGTAAAGACCTTCACAATCCAGCTGGTTTTTTCCTGTTCGTGGCCTGAGACGGTGCTCAACACCCCTGTGCCTCCAAAAGGGATACGTGGAAAGAACCTACATGATGTTAAACGTTTCTGAAATGTCTGAGAAACGACAAAATCCGACGAAAGGCTTCATTCAGTGCACCATGAAGCACTGGTGCTTCCTCAAAGCCCACGTGGGTAGTCCTGCGCAGTACGAAGGCACCTGCTCCACGAGACGCTTCCGCTCGAGCGTCAGCTGCTGTTCCAGTCCTACGAGCTGAGTCAGAGTAAAGCAAATATAGAGAAGAGGACAACTAATCTGATGATGCAGCGGAGGAACGAACGGCGCAGTTCATGAATGTGTGTGTCGGTGTCGTTGTGGTTGTGGCTGTGATTGTGCTTGTGCTCGGCCTTGTGGTAACGGTTGCGGTTCTGGCTATGCTTGTGGTCTTTGCTGTGGGTGTGGTTGTGGCTGCGGTTGTGTTGTTGTTGTTGTTGTTGCTGTTGTTGTTGATGCTGATGTTGCTGTTGGTGGTGGTGGTGTTGTTATTATTGTTCGTGTTTTGTTGATGCTGTGATTGTTGATGATGTGGTTGTTGATGATGTTGTGGTTGATGGTGTTGTTGTCGATGCTATGGTTGTTGAGATGGTGGTCGTGGTGCTGGTCGTGGTGCTGGTGCTGGTGCTGGTGCTGGTGGTGGTGGTGGTGGTGGTGGTGGTGGTGGTGGTGGTGGTGGTGGTCGTGGTGGTCGTGGTGGTCGTGGTGGTCGTGGTGGTCGTGGTGGTCGTGGTGGTGGTGGTGGTGGTGGTGGTGGTGGTGGTGGTGGTCGTGGTGGTGGTGGTGGTCGTGGTGGTGGTGGTGGTGGTGGTGGTGGTGGTGGTGGTGGTGGTGGTCGTGGTGGTGGTGGTGGTGGTCGTCGTGGCGGCGGTGGTGGTGCTGGTGTTGGTGGTAGTGGTGCTGGTGGTGGAGGTGGTGGTGGTGGTGGTGGCGGTGGGGGTGGGGGTGGCGGTGTTGTCGGCGGTGGTCCTGTTGGCGACATTGACAAAGACAATGACATATTTGTTGACAGTGAAGATGTTTATGATGAAGATGATGATACTGCTGATGGGCTCGAAGCAGAATATCAACATGCAGAATGTAATGGCAAGCACCAGTGTGGTGATGTAGTGTGATTGCATTGATGGTAAGGAGATAATGGCGCTTGCGACGAGCGGTTTTTTGCTTGCGATGCTGCAGATTAGAGGCTCTTAATCAAGACACACAACAACATGATGGTTGTGAACGTGGCAATGCTGGTAGCAAGTGACCCTTGTCCTGTTACCTCTGCGAAAAATCTTGAAGCAACAACATGAACGCAGCAACACCCTTTGAACGATATGCCATTGTAGATGCCAAAACAGTAACAGAGCACCGAGACGACCACGACGACCAATGCGATCACGAACAGCAGCACCACCAGGAACGACGGCTATGACCAGAGCCCGCGTTAGACCATGCAGGAAACCACCAGAAAACCACTGGCAGATCGCCAAAAGGCCACCAAGACATCACGACCAAACGGAACCTTAAGCCTTCAGCACGCGCCTCTTAAGAACCCCTTCGTGTGTACCAAACTGACTGTTTGAGGAATCGAACCCAGATCAAAGAGGTTCGACACACAAACACTAACATTATATGGTACGCAACATGACAGCACAATATGAGAGAAGCGACAATGGAACCATCATCGTTCTGCGACTCGTGTCGTCTCATCCGGCCGGGACGCATGTCCATCGTGGTTTCATTGCTGTACCCTTCTTGTGCATATACTGTGATTGTTCCCATTTGGTGTCAAATTTGGGATCCCGTCACTTTCCATGAGACTGTCTTTCGTGCCCCCCAACCCCCCCCCCCCCCCCCGGGGACCATTCGGTGTTTTCTTGAATAATATGTTGCCCGTGACACCCCAGACCCCTTGACCCGGTGACCTTGGTTTGGGGTCTCAGTGGGTTTCGCTGGGTTGGGGTCTGGGTGGGTTTGACTAACTTAGAAGGTAATTGGGGTGTCGGAAAGCTTTGCTTCTGGGTTGGGTGTGGGTGGGTTTGACTAAGTTATGGTTCTAGAGGGGTATGATAACTAGTGTTACGTTTTTAGGCCTAGGTGCTAGAGCCAGGGTTTCAGGATTCGGGTTTAGGGTTCCTGGAACAAGTTAGGGTTGTAAGGTTTGGGCCAGGGCGGCATGGTTGCGGTTCAGGGTTCTCTTCAGGGCATGTATTGTGATTGTCGGGTTAGGGAGCTTCAGGCTTTTGGGCTTCAGGATTGCGGCTGCTCATTCATTTGGAAAGCAAAAACAAGCATTCTAATATCGCCCAAAGGTTTACAAAAAGTGGATAAGCCCAAGGAAAAACCACAACATATAGAGGCTCATGACACCAGCGACAGAAATGCATTGGCTGTTTTTTGTCGTTCCATGGTCCATGGACGAGGGGAACTATTTCTTCACAAGCCCCATGCACAAACAAACAATGAGACAATGGAAACACATAACATATAATGAACATAGACAGTGAGAAAGCATCCACCAGGCAGATTCTGAGGGGGAATGAAACAGGCTATTGGGAACCTCAGTGCCTACCCACGCATTTTCCGTATTTTTCCGTAAGTTTGCGAGTGCTAACAAACCCTCGGACAAGCATTCGTTTCTCATCGCGCAAATATTTTCCCATGCGTTGCTTGATGCTTGATTCTGCTATCGGATACCTCTGCGAAAGTGCAATCCCATTCTAGTTCCATTTTCTCCCCATGTCGGTTGCCATTGATTGGTACGCGCCAATGTCCTGTTGCCTCCTCAGACAAATTTTTCTTTCATGGACTATAGTGAAAACAGGACCCGGACATGTTAATCGAAAGTACTTGTTCAACCACTAGCCCGCAAGTCCAGCCACTCTGGCGCTGTCCACCGCCGCCGCCTTGGCTGGCAGTTGTGTCGGAAAGTAGCATCTCCCAATGTTCAGGAACACTCCCCCAGCTACCAGCTGGGTTAGTAAGTCGCCTGAACCTAAATGTTTCCAAGCTGTTACAAGGGTGAGCGTCCAAAGTCGCAATTTGTTCTAGCTCATGCTCCACCAGCGAACCACTGATGCACTCAGCATCACTACGTTAAGCCGGAATAACCTACATTTCTAGGGTCCCTTATTGTGAATTCCTTACATAAGTCCTTAAAAAAGTAGGTTATTCCGGCTTAAGGTAACACCTAGCAGCCGCTCTGGACAGGCTGCACCGGGGAGCCCAAACCCTGGCAAACCTCAAAACTACTCTTCGAAACCCCAGGCCGTAGGCCCCACCACGGAACCTTGTGCCTCCCTTGCTGAATTTGGCCCATCGACGGGGTTGGGCACACCGAGGCTTTTCTGGACGGCGCGGCGTGACTCCTGTGAGGGGATTGCCCGGGCTTTCGTCACCAAATTAAGGCAGGACACGCAACGGAAGGAACGACGAGTTTGCCGGCTCCAGTCAGAGAGTCGGGCCCTATACCTGCATTTTGCATGACGCATGTGCGGATGACGGATGCCAACAAGGCTTCTAGGCGTGTCGGAGCTCGATTGTCACGCAACAAGCGATGACGATACTTCGGATCATGCTCGGGACAGCTTAACCTCCAGGATGGAAGGATGGCCCAGCAATCTCTTGCACCGCTGACATGGTGTACAGTGTAGACGTTGTACTCTGCGAAGCCGATGGAAAGAAATATGACATCTCCGAATCCATGACCAGACGGCATGATACTGAGAATCTGTATGACTCGAGGTCGAACCCGTGCCCTGGGACGTGGAGAAGCCAGCAAAACAAGGCTCTGCATGTTCACAACCTGATGCCGCGATCGGCCACGACCCTGCTTGCTTAAAGAGCCTATCGAAAGGACTTGTCCTAGGACACCAACAATAAGGTGTCCCGGGGCTTGTCGCATGTGATGCACGACCTTACACAATCATAACATATCCCGCGACTTGTACCATCGACCCTGATGGTCATGGCCCGGCTTCCGACTGCCCACCTCTAGGGCGCCGAGAAGTCGCTGCCGCTCGAGGATGAGATCCGCCTTTTCACCCAAAGGGAAGGTTGGAGCACATTTAGCAATACCAGTAGCACTATCAGGACCAGTAGCAACACCAGTGGTGGCGATCGTCGTCGTCGTCGTAGTAATAGTAGCAGCAGTTGTAGTACGTAGTAGGAGTAGGCATTCTCCTACGGCTATGGCCTGCTTCGTCATGAGCTCCTCGATGCGCATTGCCGCAGCTTCATGCCTGGCAAACTTTCGCGGCTGACTATGCTCAGCATATGCCATTTTGTCATGCTGCCAGAATAAGAACATGAACACTACATACAGGCAGCGACTGAGCAAATGCACTGTGATTATGCATTATACATGTGATGCTTGCTGTTCGGATGTCTCGGACATTTATGAAGCTAGCGGTCCTTGTGGCAAGCAGCCTGTCAAGGTGGGCAATATTCACTGCCTTGAAAATCTAGCTTCCCATTCGTCATCACACGGCTGTACTGTGGCTCAGCCACTAGGCCTGCCCCTGCCTCATATAAAGAGCTCTAGCTGGTGCTGCTGTGGCATTTTGCTCAGGCTGCGCGTTCATGGGCTAAGCTCCGGGCGCACATCTTTCCATTTCGCTGTTTCTTGCCTGAGGCAGATGCAGTCACGGGCAAGCAATACTGCAAATCAGGCAGCTACTGCATCGAACGGCCCGCAGGCCGTTGAATTGAGATACCTATAGTATCATCAGCGAATGATGAAAGAGAGGGAGACAGAGAGCGAGAGAGAGAGAGAGAGAACAACAAAACATGTGTGTCTATGTATGTGTCTGTGTGTGTGTATGTATGTATGTATGCACGTATATGCATGGACGCATGTATGTACGTATGTATCTCTGTATAGATATTATATGTACATGTTTCCGTGTAGATCGAGCTAGAGAGAAAGACACAGAGAGAGACACAAAGAGCGAGAGAGAGAGAGAGAGAGAGAGCGAGAGAGAGAGAGAGAGAGCGAGAGAGAGAGAGAGACTCAGAGAGAGACTCAGAGAGAGAGAGAGAGAGAGAGAAAGAGAGAGACATATAGAGAGAGACTAGGTAACACAGGAACTGACACGCCCATGTTATCCATCCTAGTCACTGACTGAGTGTAACTAGAGCGTCTATACGACCCGGAAATGGCCAGCCCTGGACTCTCCCAACATCCAGACCGTAGACGCAAAAGCACTCATAATTTACCGAAATCTCGCGTTGTGCGTGAACGGCATGCAAGCAGCACCCGGTCGCAAGCACTTCTACCCTGCGTGTTGAGTTTGATGCATGCTGGACTTTTATGTCGGTTCGGTGCACCCGCAGCTCAGAGAATGGGCCTGGGGTTCGTGAGCTGCAGCCCTGAGCTCTTGCACTTTAGGTGAAAGGCAGGGAAAACGAGAGACCATGTAACGTCCGAAATGCAACTTCCCAGCTCCATCCGCGACATCTACGATTCTCACCACCATCACCATCATCAGCATGCAGCGCACCTCCTGCTTGGGCAGCTCGTCGTCGAGCCGCTGCCTCGCTTGCCAGTGGTTCGTTTGGCAAAGACCCTATATAGTGTGGTGTTCACCAGGACTGCTCGCAGACTTTGAACCCAAGTGTTGAATCGACTAAACGGGACGGTTGAGGTGACTGCGGTCTGGTTTGGAAGGCTGCACAGGGTCCTGCTTTTCCTTGCTTTGAGTCCTGTCGGTAGGCCTTGCGAGGGTCCCAGCATTGCTGGATCCTGCGAAGGCCATTGCAGCAGCACGGTACTGCCTTCACTGCTCGGAGGCACAGCTCGTGGCAAGCAGCATGCTAGACGGTGCGACAAACTCCTACGACCAAACGCAGTCTCGAACTTGGTGGCCTCTGAATGCTGGTTGCTGCCGTACAGCGGGGGCCGAACCGCTTCCGTCAGTATGCTTGGCGGCAGCGGAGCATCGCCTAGGCGTTTACTCAGCGACTTGGGGAGGCGATGGCAGTTGCTGGGTCGGTGGTTCAGCCAGACATTCACCAGAAAGGTCACTCGCGGACCGCTCTTGCTGTACTCCACCGACGGAACCGTGCCGTGCAGGAACTGTCCGTCGAAAACCAGGTGCTTCCAAAGTTTGGGCCAGCTAAGAGCACCTTCATGTATGGGACCGTATGCCGATGTCAAACTGGGACGCCGTGCGTTGCGACAGGCCAGCACCAAGGTTGGTGCACCCGAGTCTGACAAATAAGTCACTGTGCTCAAATGTGGATGCACATTCACGTTGTGGCGCTCCACAGCAACCTCGTCTGTGTCCCAGTGGAATTGTATACCCTCCTCATGATGGCCGCTCTGGCGAACTTGAGCCCACCACTCTGCGCCCGATCGTGCCGGATCGAACTTGCATCCCACGGTATGGTGCTTAAAGACGGACATTGCAAGACGCTCCGCAAAGCAGCGTGGGGTCTCGTTAGAGGGCATCCACGACGAGCCATCCAATGCGAAAACCAAGCGGCAAGTCTTCAACATCCGCTCCAGCTCCTCATCGCCAAGGTGTTGTATCCAGCACATCCGAGTCTCGAAGCACATGCCGTCTGCCGAGGCAGTCCGAGCCTCCACATTTAGTTCAGGCATTCGCCAGGACTTGTCCTCCACGTCTTCCTCACGGCCCATGTCGGCATTCAAGAGCTCCAAGAGGCGTTTTCGTTGCTCCGCCTGCGGAAGCCGCCGCAGCGCGGTCAAGGAAGCCGGGGAGGCCCGAGAAGTCTTTGCATCCTGGCCCGGATCCTTGTGCTTCGGAGCCTTACTCGCGGATTTCGCCTTCTGCCGGGCCTTCCAGCGATGTTGCAGATTACGTCGCCGGGCAGAAGGACACTTCATAACAAACCGTGAAGCGCGCGCATGTGGTGACGCACGAGCCCACGTTCTCGCTCTCGCGCCCCTGGGCGTGCTGGAACCCAAACAGCAGGCAAAGTCGGAACATGCTGCTGCATAACTGTAAACCCTATAAGTTTTAACAGACAACGAACCCCAAATTTAAATGTTCCATAATGTTTCTCTAGTCACCCACAGTGCCCCAAAACCATCCAGACTGAAAAGCAAGCTGAGACTGGAACCTTGCGACCTCAACGTGCTGCAGGATGGAGGCCTCCAAACTCCGAGCGATTAGCAGGTGGTTTTTGCGACTCGCCACGTGAAAGTTCGCGGTGTTTAGGGTGTATAGGACTGGAAGACGCAGTGGGAAGGCTAGCGGTTGCAGTCTAGAAGATCGGCTTCTGGCCTACAGATACTCGCGCTTCGGAATTCCGTGAATGCTCTATAGCAGATCGTCATGCGATGGGTTGGCACCGTGAATGCCGCCAGACATGCCTCTGCACGTACTTGCCAGCAGACTGGTACCAGCATCAAAACTCCGAAGTATTCATACCACAGCCCTACCCAAAGCTCTCACACTGCACGGGCGCAGGAGCCGAAACCGGCTGTCAGCACTTGGGGTGAAGTATTTGATGATACACAACAGGTGGGGATGATCCTGGACTGAATGTGGGCTCGCATCCCATCAGGCGTCTTGCTGTACGTGGAACTGACTTCAAACGCATTGTCTGCGCCTCATTCCGTTCCTAACACTTGGGGCTATAGTTAGTTTGTCCGCGTCGAACCACCGAGAATCGGTGCTGCATGTGCTGCACAGACCCGGTAAATATCTGGCCTCCTCAGATGCCGCATGAGACTCGCGCGTATGCCGCAGCTCGTCAGCAGACTGGGACAGGTGGGCAAGAGTCTTTTTGCTGTGGTCGGGTGCATGTAGCTTGCGCTTCACGGACCGAAACCGCAGAGATAGATACAAATCCAGATTCAGTAAAACAAACTGTCTAAACGCATGCCGGAGAAGGTAGGTTTGCCTGCAGCAATTAAGCCCCAAATCAACGACTCCGGATAAACGAACAACCAAGGACAACCGCTTGTTGTCGAGTGCATGTCCGAACGCACAAGCACACACACATGCAAACATATTTCTATATCTATCTCTATCTCTAACGTTATCTCTCCAGCTCTCTATCTCTCTATCTAGCAGTCTATCTACCATCGATCTGTCTATCTATCGATCTATCTATACATATGTGATCGTGTGTGTGTGTACCAAGTGTGTGCATGTATCAGTGCTCACGAACCTCAACCCGGCGCGAGCTTTCTGCCCGCATTCATGAACGACGCATGTTTGTCTGTGTATTCGCTGTGCGCTGCTCGGGGCACGGAGTCCGAGTCCGGCGCAGCCTGTTGCGTGTGTATGTATGTGCGTCATTTATGATGAGACCGGCTGTGGCATTCTGTGATGAATCACTGGAGTCACTATAGAGTGCTGCTGCTTTTCGTGCATACGGCGACTGTGCATCCAATGAACTGCGACACACACACACACACAGCACTGCACAGCACCACACTGCTGCGCAATGCCGAGCAATGGCAATGCGCGACAATATATGACTGGTCAAAGAACCAATGGAGGCAACTGGATGAACAAATCGCACCAGCACTACAAAGACAAACAACGAGAACACCGGCAAGCAACAAAAAGAAAAAAAAAACACTGCCAGCAACAGAAGCAGCAACCTTGACGACGACAACGACCACGACCGCGGCGACAATGGCAACAATGAAAACTGCGATGGCCCTGACAAGAACACCGTCACCTATAGGCTTGAAATACAACATGAACCGCGGCGACAGCAACCAAACTCCTGGGGCTGTGCCGCTTCACAACCCCGGAAGCTGTCCAAGAAGAAACCTGGTCCTTGCAGCCTTGCAGCGCCTTGCAGAAAAAGGACCCAAACTGGTCAGCAAGCCGCGCTTTTCTTGAATCCGTTCACAGCCTCGGCCTCGGTCAAACTGGAAGGCGTCTGGCCTTTGAAAAGCTGGCCAAAGGAGGTGCCGCTACCGCAGTCAGCGCGCCACGAACGGCTTTAGGGTACCCAGGATGCCGCTTGAGGCGACCCCGGATTGAAAAGTGTTGCTTCTGCAGTGGCTCCACTTCCTTAGCATGAACTCGCTGTCCCGCAGGCAGGTTTTGCAGCCTCCCAGTCTTGAAACATTGCAGCTCGAGTGATAAAAGACGGACAGCCTACATCCAACGTGATCTATGAAGCGCAGCAGTTCAACTGATGAATGGCGCCTAGATGGTCGTCATAGCAAAAACACTGCAAATAATACGTAAACTTCACTGCAGGCTAGTTATGTTGATGGCATCGTGTCCGCTTTGATCGATAATTCGTGGAAACTACTAAGGATGATGATAACCGTGTGATGTCTGAACACACTGGCTATGTTGATGTCTGAACATTCCGGGAAGAGGAAAGGAGACGCCGACGAAGACGCGATGGCAAAGTCAACGATGACAACAGCTGACAAGAAATGAAGCAGATTTACAAACTTATACGCAACGATGCCGAACATTGTTCTGTGGAGTACCTCGATGCTGACGATGGTAATGATGATCATGATGATCGTCATCATTATGTCGCTCATCAAAAATTATGGCCACCTGATCACGCTGTTCTTGCTGCTTTTGCCGAACAGCAGCGTTAATGCCGGGGCGCACAAACGCTATGCGCGGTAAAAGCGGTAGTAGCTGGCATCAGCAGGACGAGCAGCAGCAGCAGTAGTAGTAGTAGCAGCAGCAGCAGTAGTAGTAGCAGCAGCAGTGAAAGTAGTAGTAGTAGTAGTAGTAGTAGTAGTAGTAGTAGTAGTAGTAGTAGTAGTAGTAGTAGTAGTAGTAGTAGTAGTAGTAGTAGTTCTTGTTGTAGTCGTAGTAGTAGTAGTAGTAGTAGTAGTGGTAGTAGTAGTAGCCGTAGTCGTAGTCGTAGTCGTAGTCGTAGTCGTAGTAGTAGTAGTAGTAGTAGTAGTAGTAGTAGTAGTAGTAGTAGTAGTAGTAGTGGTGTTAGTAGTTTGTAGGAGAAGTAGTAGTGTGGTGTTTTAGTGGTAGTGGTGGTGGTAGTAGTAGTAGTAGCAGTAGAAATAAAGCCATAAAGTAGCAGTATTGTCATTAGTAGTTGTCGCAACAGCAGCGGAAGTGGACTTGGAGTAGGAGCAGCAGTAGCAGTGCAACGAATAGCCGTGGAAAGGCTCAACCCGTCTATGCGCAAAGACTACAGTAATAAGCATCCGGGCCCAGAAATGGCAAGGTCTATGGTCAAGTGCATCATGGTGGGAACAGAGCATCCGTGCTCAAAGCCTGCTAACGTCCATGGTGCAGGTCCGTGCCAACAACCTGAAAACGTCCATGGTCTTTTGTCTTTTCAACTTCAGTGTCAAGATCTTCGGGACTTCGCTCCTTGTGATGCTGTAGAACTCGTAAATTACGATGTGTCTCTCGTTCCGAAGTTAAAAAGGCCTAAAGCGCCTGCCAGCAGTGCATGAACACCGATACTCAACTTCGTAAACCATCGTAAACCTGTCAATTCTGAGTTCTCCAGTTCTCCCGAAGGTAACTGGGCTGAGGCAGCATGAGCTGCAATATCTTTCAGGCTAGGTGTGGTCCGAACTTTTTCGTGCCCACCATAGTCAAGACATCGCTAGCATTCTTCTGGCCCACGCCGAGAAGGCTGAATTTCCATCAGTGGTCTCTTGCGCTACTGAGCCATTCCTAGGCGAGTCTCCGCCACGATGGCCTAACTTTATCTACCTTTGGTGCAGAATGAGATATGGGCACAAGAGGCTCACTTAACCCAGGAAGCATTCTAAATGTTCACCGGGTACTTCGGAACCATAGACCGTGGCAACACATCCAAGCTCCAGAACCAGGTCATCATGAACTCATCATGCCTGCTGTGATGCAACGTTTGTCTAGACCCTCCGCTCCGAGATAGACAAAACCCTAAAGCCGTGAGCTTGCCGAGAGAAAACACATTTCTGTTGCAGCATCACCGGCCTCCCTATGCCCCTCACCCCAATATCGGACCAATGTCCTGAATTCAGACGAAGGCACCTATGGAGAGACGGACTCCTGTGTTTGCAACAGGGAAGTTGAAGTCTCATCAGCAGTCCGACTCTTCCTTTAGGGGCGGGTTCACGGCCTCTCAAAGGCTTAGGATTTGGGGGAACTGTCCCAGCAGTAGGATTTTCATGCCGCATGCCTACTCCCGAAACCAGTTCATACACTGTAGGAACCATACTTAATGCTCCTGTAGACTACATTGATGTGGCCAGCAGCAAAACAGAAGGCAGAACAGGCAATATCCTTGCTCCAAATTCGAACTTGTACATCCTGTCCTATTCCAACTCCAAACCCCTCAAGCATAAGCCTAGAAACATGATGGAGAGTGGCCCCTAAATGTGCCATACCGGAACTTCGGGAATCACTCTGCGAACTCGTTGACGAAGAACAGCGCGATGATGCCTCCCATGACCTTCGGCATATGTTCCGACCAGGAACTCTTGAAGGCGACATACCTGGACCCTTTCTAAGCTTGACGCTTTGTTTCACAGACCGGCAGGTAATGTGCTTAGTAAGCCCTGGACCTGGATGTGAGAGCTTACAAATTGTCAGCTGAAGTTCTGAAACGCAGTCTCCAGAAGATGGCATCTGACGGTAGTTCAATAAATATGCCTAGCTGTGGAATCTGCTTAATCATCCTTTCTCTGCCAAAACCCCGCAGGAGGAGGAACTCTCAGCAAGTCCCGAATCACTGGGGAGGGTGTCAGAATACTTCTGCCGCCCGTGCTGGTGCGCAGGGGGGCTCGACATCTATCAAATCCTGGGAAAAGAGCCATGAAAACCCTGCTCTTGTGGAAAACGGCTCCGCGGTTCTCAGGAACGAGGGGATGGATGGGTGCACGTTGGAATTCCATCACCGTAACCACAATCGCTCACCACAACAATGGTGCCTGCAATCCTATTCTGTGAATTTTTTGGCAACTACATCACAGGATTAAGTATGCACGATTTCCGATCTGTTTCCAGAGCTTGTAGGAACTGCAAGTTTGAGCTTTGGGTTGCAAGGTCTCGGTGCTAGACCTCTACTGTGTCTTCTGCAACCTAAATACTTACCCAATCGGGGGACGTGTGCGATCCCCAATTCTGGGACCGTGCCTGCCGCCTATGGTGCTTGCGTTAGAATGAAATCCTGCCCAGACTTGGCTTGTCCAGAAAGGCAGCGTACTTAGAGGTTCAAGGAACCCGTTGTCATTAGACCAACTCTGATAAACCATAACCAAGAACTATCTCGCTTCGAAGTCCCACAAATCGCCGAGTACAATCCCAGCAAGCCCTCGCCAGCACAAGTTCCCGGGCGGGCATAAACTGAAGTCATGGCCTTCGTTGCTACAATACGGAATTACCGGGCTGTCACGAAAAAAGGCGTTCTTCTAATAGTGTCCTGAAGCTCTTGTTGTCTGGCGAAACACCAGCTCCAGCACCACCACGAACGCGGTGGGGGGAAAGACCAGCCAAGAGAGCCTCGGCATCGTCACGGCGATCTCTGGAGCTTTACACGACCTCTGTGCTTGGCCCAGAGGCCAAACTCCTGCTAGGTCCACGCACATGACACCTGACTGGAAGGATTTTCAAATCGTCCAAAATGCTGCTGATCAGACAACAGCATACACCAGCGCGGCAATGGATGTGATTCATCTTGTGACTATCCCGCTGATTCTCAGTGCACTGCAGCTTTTTGCACCGCGGCTGTTCCAGCTCTAAATACGGCTAGTATCAGGAGGGTAATTACTTTCAGCTAGGACCTATAGGAGCGATGTAAGGAAACTGTT